TCTGAGAAGTTCAAGTTTGCAATACCGTAGGAGTTCATTATGGCCGCCTTTTTCGCTTTTCCGATGTCGTTACCTGACCTTGCGCACAATGTTGTTGGAGTTCTTGGGGTTTCTTCCAACTTTCTGTCACGATCATGGACTTCTATCTCCAGAGGCGGACCAGAGAGGAACTCTTTGAGCTCTATAGGTCTCATCAGGCCCGTCAGGATCACATTCACGTCTCTGAAGAAGATCTTTGTGCCGTGCTCGTGATTCTTTGTCCTGTACATGTTCACGTTGTGGAACTTGTACTGGCAATATACAGGCACACACTTATCCTGGGAAAAGGAAAAAAAAACCATGTCTTATAAAACCTCCCTGTTAAAATAAAATAATGCCATAACACACGCATGCACAATACAAGCCGTGTATTCACTGGTAAAACAGAAAGAAATGGCACCTGTAGGATGTGGAAAGAGACGGGGGATGAAGGCATTGAGGTGGCGGACAGAATAGTGATGACCAGAGGGTTGAGTTCAGCCTTTAGTTCCTCCGACATTAACTCCCTCTCCAGAGAGACGTTGCACATGACCTCAAATACACCCGCTGAACGGACCGGGAAGCGCTCAGTCAACGAGGTTTCACCTGGCAGTCACAAAAGTATCAGCAGATGGTTCTTTAATAATCAACCACTTTGGTCCAGATTTAAGTAGCTCAACAAAAGTTGCATATATCTCCATGACGTTTGGCAGAGATATTGAGAGTCACCAGAGGATGCATCCCAATCACTTTGACAAACATCTCACTTTTCATCATGTCAGAGGTCACCATGAGGTTGACATTTTTGTTTGGGGTGAAATCTGGGACTGTCATGTACAGTAAAACATGAGGTCTTCATGTGTTCTGACCAAAAGGAAATGTTCTCTATTAGAAAAAACGTCAGAATACCGACTTTAATCTCAAATTTAAAAAATCTCTTCAATTAATTTGATAAGACAAGGAATACTTTCGCAACAGGTCATAACACAAGGTAACAAGGTTCACTCACCTGCTAACAAACTAACAAGTCTGATTTCCATCAAGGCAGTGCCGTTCTTCTTCATCTCTTCAAGATCAAATGCATCAACGGTGGGTTTTTGAAAATCTGTTTTGGTGAGAGGTCCGAAGTCAGTGTCTTTTATCAGGGTTATTATTCAACAAGGCTTACACACAAGTATACTAGCAATACATTGAAGTCATTTGACACCAGTGTGTATACTCAAACAATCATTGTTTATCATTATATGATTCCATACTTAACAAGGAGAAAGTTGAAGATATACCTGTTTCTTTTCCAACCTCTGAATTCAACAGTTTATCTCCTCTGTGCTTTTTACACGTGTTCCTCTCACATGAGGATCTCAGTTTCTTAACCAACGCCTTGATACCACCTGAGGATAAAGTTATATTTTTCATAAGAAAATGTATAAAATACAAAGTTATACATTCATACCATATCGGGACATCTGATGCTCACCACCACACATCTCTGGTGCATCGTCAGGCTGATCCTGGGTCCACCTGAACGCCTTCAGCCTCTCATAGCGGGCCAGACTGCACAGTTTGTCCTTACTGTTCCAGACCTGGAGCTGGATCCTATGAGGAAGCAGACTGATCAGCGTCTCCCTGTCCACTCTGACCTCAAAGTTCTGAGTCCAACCAACCCAGAGCTGATCTCCTTCATGCCATGTTCTCAGGACCTGGGTTAGAGTATGGGTTAGAGTAATGGGTTAGGGTTTGGGTTAGAATTGTTGTGAAATGTTTTCTACCATAAAACATTAACATCACATTAACCAAATCGCACTTCAAGACTTTTTTATATATTTTAAATTGCATTTATTGTATGTACAGTATGTACTGTATATGTACTGTATGTATGTGTGTGTGTGTGTGTGTGTGTGTGTGTGTGTGTGTGTGTGTGTGTGTGTGTGTGCGTGCGTGCGTATGTATGTGTGTATGTATGTATGTATGTGTGTGTGTGTGTGCGTGCGTATGTATGTGTGTGTGTATATATATGTGTGTGTGTGTGTGTGTGTATGTGTGCATATGTTTGTGTGTGTGTGTGTGTGTGTGTGTGTGTGTGTGTGTGTGTATATATCATAGACTGTGTGTATATATACACATACACATGTGTATGTGTATATATACACATACACATGTGTATGTGTATGTATATATATATGTTCAAAAAACAACATCATGTTTACCTTGAACTCGTCTTCTTTGTATATTTTTGCCACTTGTCCAAACACGACCAGGTCCACTTTGACTGTCTCTGTGTCGCCCGGCAACAGCTTGTATTCAACATGATAGCAGCTCTGGGCTTTAAAGCCTTTCACCGAAACAGTGGAGGAATCTTTGGTTTTCTTCTTCGTTTTTTCAAGAGCTTCAGGGACGTCAACATCTTCCTCTGAAAGGGAACAAAAGCCAATAGAAATGTTAAATAAATCTGTAAACTGTTTCCTTAATCAAAGTAGTGATTTCAGCACACTTAACCTACTACTTTTCAATATCTCTGTGAATCTCAATGAAAACCAAAAAACAAGAACTCAGGCAGCACATCTACCTAAAACATATCGATCTTTATTTAAAAATGTGTTGTAACATAAATCCCTGCTATTAATCCCCTTTCAGATAACACATGTACAAGTAGTCAGATTACTAAGTGTTTCAATGTAACTCTAAGGATATACAGTTACCTTTTAGTATCCTGATTAAATAATCCCTTTAAATGTCATCTGTTACTCCCCATGTCTGTTGAAGCTAATGAAGTTAATGATAAACGTACCTTTGGGGACAGCAAGGACAATATCGACTGTCCATGTGATGTAATTCGAGTTTCCACCTTTGCATGTTGTGATGTCTTCAGTTGACCCGGACAAGTTGTCCAAACCGTGCTCCGTGGACAACTTGTCCGTCTCAAGGAGGAGAAGGTCTTCCTGTCCTTCATCTGTAACGTCTCCATCCTCACAGAGAGCCGTCTCTGTCGTGTTAGACATGGCAAAATGGTGAATAATTCTCACAATTAATTTTGATTTGAATAACCACATTACATCATTATCAATGAGGAAAATTACAAACTGGAAAACAATAAGTGATTCAGATTATTATATATATATTATTATATTTATTATAATGAATTGCTGCTACGTTGACGTGCCTTGCAATTATTTGTTGTCAATAAAACAAGTAAGCGGATTTTGGAATTGTACTAAAATGAGAATATTTTAATAAATTAAGTTTCTCTGAAAACAATGTTTTTCAGTATTAAGAGCCATTAATGATTTTCTTAAAACAAGGAGTTCTTTACTCGAGAAAAAGTAATCACACAAGTAAAAGTACAGCATCAAGAAAGGTAGGCTACTTAAGTAAAAGTATTTGTGTAAATGTAGTCATTGCAGAGAAATATCAAACAATATTTGTATATTTGTTAAACATTTTATGCTCACATTTAAGGAGCTGAAACTGTGATCTGAACTCCAATTAATTTTCTCTTAACCCACTCCTGGTTTTAGTTACTTACATATAATGTTGGATGATTTTAATCTTTACCAAATAATCATATTTTAAAAGTGTCTCCTAACTATTGTGTGTAAAAATCCGAACTAAATCTCTAAATTAAATGTAGTGGATGAAAAAGTAGAAAATTGGCTTTCAAAATGTAGTAGAAAATTATAAAGTAGTGTAAAATGAAAATACTAGGGTAAAGTAGAATCACCATGACATTGTACTTAGTTACTTTACACCACTGATGGTAATTATTGATAATATTAAAGCAGCACATGTACAGTTGTTTCTCTTGAGTCTCACCTCCTGTGGGTCCGGATTGACGTGAAATATAGTAGTTTGTAATTGTTGTAGTTTTTTTTGTAGTTTTTATAACTGCTGTTCTTGTCTTCACTTTACCTTGTCTTTTTGTTTCCATCGCTGCTAACGAGTTAAACTTAATACAATACAAGTTATTTGAGAGTAAAGTAAAGTTTCGACCTATCACACAATATAATCTCTTGAGTGCAACGCGTCGCCATGACAACAACCGCTGTAGGGACGGACATGAGGCTTTTACTGGCCTCACAAACTGTCGGAACTATCGCAATTACGCTACAAATCAAGACAGAAAAACTAATTTTCTCGTGCAGGGTAATTCAAGATGTGTTAGAATTTAACGTCATATAAGAAATATTGTAAAACCAAATTGAGAGTTGTCGAAAAAAACAGCATCAAATGAACAATTAAAGCAACACATTTGGTTGGTAACTTTTACGAGGGGGACTTGAGTGCAGCAGTAAACATGCTCAAATTGAAGGGTAACTTTAAACATGTGTTCCGTAAAAATAACTTACCTGTAAAATGTTAACAATAAACTAATCTAAGTATCAAAATATATAAAACATTTGTAATACTTCTATTACTTTTGGATTACTTGGATCAAATGGAAAGCAAATAAAAACAAGAGAAAATTAAAATCCAAGAAATGTTTTTTTACCAAAATGTATAGGACAACAATGTATCCTTAAAAAACAAGAAACAGTATAGTTTGTTTAAATCTCCTGAAAGTATGTCTAAATAAAACCAAAAAGCATTATTATTTTTAAAATGTAGTGTAACATTCTAAAACTGCTAGTAATCTTATGTTTTAGAAATAATAAAAAACATTTTCATATACATTTTTTGTAATCTTACAATCAGGGATGCAGCAAGGTGCACATTGTGCACAAAGCCCTATGAGCCAGTGTAACTCTCGAGTAAAGAGCAGGCAGTTGGAGAAACACTGCATATTAGTCTCTGGGGCATCTTACATCTTAACAAGGTCTAACCGAGTGAATGACACAAGTTTACACACCTGGTGGCAATTACACTGCGGCAAACGGCAGTAAGAGAGTTATAGTGAAGCTGTGTGTGTTTTACTGGTTGGGACCCCTGGTTTTGGGGTTTTGGGGGCATGGCTAAATTCAAATGTGCTCCGTTTGTCTCATTTCAGTTCCAGTGTGCGCACAGCTTCAGGAGGAACAAGAGCTCACACAGGGCAATGCTGGAGGAAACAAAGTAAGTGTGTTAAGTTTGAGGGAATATGATGTTTTTACGCACAAATGATGGATGCCATTGATCCATACAGCCGCCCCGCGCGCCGGACGCAATGGATAGTGAGCACCCTGGCTTACCACTACGGACTGGACCGGGGGGTGGAGAACGAGATCATAGTTCTGGCCACCGGCTTGGATCAATACCTGCAGGAGATTTTCCATCACATGGACTACCAGGGCGCAGGAAAAGTCTCCGTGGAGGATTTTAACATCTTGTGTGAAGTTTTGGGGCTGAACAAAGAGGTGGATACTGAATGCAGTTTGGAGAGTTTACCCAGCGAGCTCACTTTCAGACACTTCCACGCCAAACTGTGCGGATACTTCAGCACCAAGGCGGGGTGTCAGTATGAAAACGGCCGGTTGTTGGTGGGGAAGGACAGCGAGCACATCGAGACTCAGATCCGCCTGAGGAGCCCTCTGAGGCGGCGGGAGAAGCTGCTGTCTGCCGGGCTGGGTGAAGCCTCGGAGGGTCGGCACGCCTCCGGCTGCAGGCTGGGATCCTGCACCAAAGAGTGCTATGAGGAGATTGTGGCTCTGGAGGAAGCAGAAGACCGAGTAGTGAAGCTGGAGGATGAGAATGCGAGTTTGAGGGAGCTGATCGAGGACATGAGAGCCGCGTTACAGAGCAGCGATGCCCGCTGTATGGCCCTGCAGGTGAGCGCCATGGAGAGGGTCAACATGTTTATTCTGCTGAGAAGGAGAGGGCTTAACTCTGCTTAGAAAAGCTGCAACTCTAAAAGCAGGCATGTATCTTCAGAGGTGTAGAAAGTACTCAGATCTTGTACTTGAGTAAAAGTAGAAGTACTCAGATCTTGTACTTGAGTAAAAGTAGAGGTACTCAGATATTGTACTTGAGTAAAAGTAGAAGTACTCAGATATTGTACTTCAGTAAAAGTAGAAGTACTCAGATCTTGTACTTGAGTAAAAGTAGAAGTAATCAGATATTGTACTTCAGTAAAAGTAGAAGTACTCAGATCTTGTACTTGAGTAAAAGTAGAAGTACTCAGATATTGTACTTGAGTAAAAGTAGAAGTACTCAGATCTTGTACTTGAGTAAAAGTAGAAGTAATCAGATATTGTACTTCAGTAAAAGTAGAAGTACTCAGATCTTGTACTTGAGTAAAAGTAGAAGTACTCAGATATTGTACTTGAGTAAAAGTAGAAGTACTCAGATCTTGTACTTGAGTAAAAGTAGAAGTAATCAGATATTGTACTTCAGTAAAAGTAGAAGTACTCAGATATTGTACTTGAGTAAAAGTAGAAGTACTCAGATATTGTACTTGAGTAAAAGTAGAAGTAATCAGATATTGTACTTCAGTAAAAGTACTCAGATATTGTACTTGAGTAAAAGTAGAAGTACTCAGATCTTGTACTTGAGTAAAAGTGGAAGTACTCAGATATTGTACTTGAGTAAAAGTAGAAGTACTCAGATCTTGTACTTGAGTAAAAGTAGAAGTAATCAGATATTTTACTTGAGTAAAAGTAGAAGTACTCAGATCTTGTACTTGAGTGAAAGTAGAAGTACTCAGATATTGTACTTGAGTAAAAGTAGAAGTACTCAGATATTTTACTTGAGTAAAAGTAGAAGTACTCAGATCTTGTACTTGAGTGAAAGTAGAAGTACTCAGATATTGTACTTGAGTAAAAGTAGAAGTACTCAGATATTTTACTTGAGTAAAAGTAGAAGTACTCAGATATTTTACTTGAGTAAAAGTAGAAGTACTCAGATCTTGTACTTGAGTAAAAGTAGAAGTACTCAGATCTTGTACTTGAGTAAAAGTAGAAGTACCAGAGTGTAGGAATACTCTGTTAGTAAAAGTCCTGCATTCAAAATGTTCCTCAAGTAAAAGTAGAAAAGTATTCTCATCTAAATATAGTGAAAGTAGCGACAGTAAAAGTAGGCGTTGTGCAGATTGGTCCATTTCAGAATAATATATATGATATGTTTTATAATGATTGATCATGAAAGTGTTCTCAAAGCTGGTGAAGGTGCAGCTAGTTTGAATGACTTTGTATACTGCAGGGTAGCTTGTGGATTTACTCCAGGTGGAACTAAAGTCTGATTTAACACTTGATTATATTTCACATCATTCATCCACATCTGTGAAGTAACTAAAGGGATTAGATACATTTAGTGGAGTAAAAGTACACCATTTACCTCTGAACTGTAGTGGAGTAGAAGTACACAGTAGCAGAAAACGGAAATACTCAAGTAAAGTACAAGTATCTCAAAATTGTGCTTAGTTACTTTACACCACTGATATTCGTATAATGTAAAAGTAGCCTTCTACCTAATCTGATTACTTTCTGTTACTTTTGAATTACCTCAATATCAAATGCAATGCAAATCAATAAAAGAGTAATACATAAATATTAAGATGTTTTTTATTAAGGGTATTATGTAAAACAACAGAACAATGTAACCTTAAAAGATAAGAAACCAAGATATTTAGTTTAAGAAAGGTGTCCTCTTAAATCATCACATCAATCACTACCTGGCAAACCATTGAGTTATAACTGACAAGTATACATTTCTTATTATCATTAGCCTTTAGTCGTTTGTATTGAATTCCAAGTAATGATTCATTACAGACTCATCATTGACCGTATGAGAGATTTTCCACAGCCGACAATCCAAAAAAGCTCTTGTTTCCAACTTATCTATAAGTCATCAGGTTGAGGATTCGTTTCCAGCCCCTGCAGTCATCATGCCGACTGTTTTATCGACATGTTGCAGATGTGCTCTTGGGAAAGATATGTACTTCAGTAACTTCACCCTAAGTTGTTCCCAATTGCACAGCCAACAGTGTGTGAATGTTAGCTTCCTTTGAGCAGGAGGCATCTTGTATGAATGTATGAACTCTATGAATGTGTGTGAAGGGGTGAATGCTAACTGAGGAGTTGTACAGATAAAGCACTATATAAATACAGTCCATTTACCAAAAGCAGGGGTGTCCAAACTTTTTTCACCGAGGGCCACATACAGAAAATATACGAAGGGCTGGACCCCTCACTAGAGTGGAGGTATATTGCCTCATAAGTTAAGTTATAAGTCAGCTAAATTAATTAAAAGTAGTTCAATAATGCTTGTTACTTGAATATGCTTTAAGAAAAAATAAACCGCCTACATGACAGTTCTCCTTAGGGTTTACTTTATTTTGTTGGCAGCTCATTCCTTAAAACAGCAGCCTCAGATTTCTCATCATTAGGGGTAATATGAAGGGTATATTTCACGCTTGTTATTCAAATAAGTCATTGGGCTTATTTCTTATCAAATTAGATTTATTAGAAAATGTTTGCAACTTTAATTGACTGAATTTATTTTTTAAAAATGGGGTTATTAACACATGAATACTGTAATATATGTTCACATATCTATTTAAGAAGTACAATACAAGACAAGCACAAGTTTCATTTGTGGGCCGTGTTTCATTATACTTTCAGAATTAGCTGAGGGCCAATTCAAAATGTCCCCAAAATGTCCGTCTTGATGTCATGGTGCATACATAAAAGTAAAACAAAAATAAAAAAACACAGATAGAGAACTATAATAACATTAAAAAATGTAAAAAATGATAAAAACATATTGTAAAGTATAGCAGTATTTACATAGAAATAGAATGGAATAAAATATGGAATAAAACTCGGCAGTAATACAAAAAGAAAACCGATATTATAATATCTTGATGCTATCGTATTTTCAGGTAGGACTATGGAAGAGCCACTCCAAACATAAACCAGAGGAAAGCTGCGTCGCTGCTCTCCAAACACAAGAAGCCCAGCACGGTTTGAGCAACAGCAACCTGAAGAGTCTGCAGAACATCATCCAGGAGATCGAGCTGCTGCGAGGATCCAGAGAGCGACATGCAGAGGAGGCCATGTTGAGTAACGAGAGACTGGAGCAGGAGCTGTGGAGCTCTAGAGAGACTGTGGCTGCTCTAGAGGACTGCAACCGAACCCTAAAGAGGGAGCAGGTGGGCATGAGGAGGAAGGTGGAGGAGGCCAGGCAGGCGTTGCTCAACGGTCTGGGGAAGGTGAAGGAACTGGAGGCCAAAGCCAATCATGTTCCAGTTCTGCAGAGACACATCCTGCAGCTGGAGTCAGAGCTCCTCTACTACAGGTAAGAGATTGTTGTTCAACCCTGTCAGAGACTTGATGACTCAGCATACCATAATAACCTGTCCAACAGCATCACCTGGGACCCAAAGCATGTTCTGAACAGAGAATATGAACTGCTACCATCTAATGGGAGATTCAATAAAGTCCGTTTTTATTGTTTTTTTATTCAGATGTATTTCGGAAAGATCCAAGAGGTGGCTTGCAGCAGTGTTTGTCAGGGTTTGAGTTTTGTTGTTTCTAGTTGTGGGGTTGTGCTGTCATGTTTTCCTCCTTGTGTCTTGTCTGGTCCTTCTCCCTGTGTTTTCCTCCCTGTGTCTTGTCTGGTCCTTCTCCCTGTATTTTCCTCCCTGTGTCTTGTCTGGTCCTTCTCCCTGTGTTTTCCTCCCTGTCGTTAGTTTCCCTGGTGTGTCTGATTGTCTGATTGTGTTCACCTGTGGCCCTGGTGTTTCTCCTCCCCTGCCCGGCTGTTTCTCGTCTCGTGATTACCCCTCCCTGTATTTAGTCTTGTCTCTTCCTGTGTTCGGTGTCGGTTTATTCTGTTACGGTTTGGCAAAGGTAGGACCCAAAAGCAGACTAATAAAAAAGGTAAGTTGGTCTAGAAAACAAAAACGAGCTTTATTGTAAAAGCTGATGGCAAAAACACAAAGGAAGCACAAGGAAGATATAATACAAAAAGCTGACGATGACTGACATGGAGAGTGACGGGAAAAACAAACAATGAACCGACACCGAACACAGGAAGAGACAAGACTAAATACAGGGAGGGGTAATCACGAGACGACAAACAGCCGGGCAGGGGAGGAGAAACACAAGGGCAACAGGTGAACACAATCAGACAATCAGACACACTGGGGAACTAACGACAGGGAGGAAAACACAGGCAGAAGGACCAGACAATATAACAAGAGGAAAACATGACAGGGAGAACAGAACAGCAAAATAACCCCACAACTAGACACAACAAAACTCAAACCCTGACAGTGTTGGCATTTGGAATGGGTAGAAAAGCTATTGCCTTTATACGTGGTCATTGAGTATGGAACCCCAAACTATTCATTATCGGATCAATAAAAAAGGTATTGTGAAATCAATAATCGCATCCACTATTGGATTAGGAGAGACTTTTTTACATGCATCTTCTGGTCTTACATAATAACTGAATATTAGGGCCATGTGATTGCCAGAAAGTTTAAGTGGCATTGACAATATCCCTGTCCTGAAAAATATTGAAATAACCTTTTAGGTTCCAGAAAATGTAAATGAAGCTGTTCCTTTTAAAAATGTCTTGCGATGTAACCTTGGCGGCATGTTGATGCACCAAAAGAAACATTTAGGGTCACAGTTGTTGCTTTTTTAGTGGCAGGGACAAAGACCTTTTCACCTCTTCATCAAATCCAATCCACTGTCAAACCCTGAGCAAAACAAGTGTCTGTCTGTTCACAGGAGAAAGAGTGCTTGTCTGCAGGTTGCTGCATTAGGGAGGCCTTTGTGGCCAAAATGAACCGTAATGAATCATAATCCTTCCTAGAGTAAAATGACTCTGTTTACTTCTGGCTTAATGCCTCGAAAACTCTTCCATGCCACTTATGAAGGCTTGATGTGGTTCACTTTACCAATTTTTAGCCTTGTTGTGTTTGAGTTTGCTTAGCGGGCATCGTGTGTGGGTCCTGCCTGAGCTCTGCTTCTGTCGAGAACTACTCATTTTGGTGGAAGTAAGGGTGTAATTGGACTTTTCAAGTACAAAGCCATTGGGTTTAATGTTTATCCCTGTGTCTGTTGTCGCAACTCCAAACGTATAATCAGTGTCTGGACTTCTTAGGTGGCAGATGTCTCTCTAAATAGTTTGAACATCTACCTAATGCTGTTATTACGGACTCTGAGACGCATGCAACCAGACGCTTACTACCTGTAATTCTAACCAACACACTTCCCTAGCCTTCTTATAACCCTAAACTCCACTAATCCATGCAGACTGTGTTTCCAAAAGTCTTTTCACTGCCCTTCCATTGATAGCCTAATGGCAAATAATTCAATCCCACAAAGGCTCTGACTTGTCAGCAGAGAGCTCCATTGAGTGAAACCTCCGCAGACTGACCGTTCTCATCAATCTGTGCTCACGTCTTTCTCTCTGCTCCCAAATGAACAATACCACCCCGTCCTATGGATCTTAGCAACCAAGCTCCATGAATATTCCCACTGAAGCCTCAATGCTTGCTCAGTCACGTCTCATCGAGGGTTAGAAAAGGGGGGTACCAGTTAAAGGTGTTGTTCTTTAAGATTTCAGTAAGATGCAATGCTTTGTGACTCTGATTTACCTTCAAATGAAGTCAGAATTCTTTCCACATGCTATGCCATTGTCATTGTGGAGAGTTTAAACAAGGGTTAGCGTTAGGGTTAGGGTTAGATAAGCCTTAAATGTTTGTTTTTTTAATAAGGATCATACATTGTCTGCATTTAATTTGCTGAAGGAGTTACATTTACAGATGAGTCGTTCTAAGGCTGATGGTGAAATTGTTGTTCTTAGTTCCCCCACTAGATCATCTGAGAGCGTGTTGTTTTTGATTAACTTAGTAATGGACAATACCATTAATGAAACATTTACATTACGTTAATGGAAGCTATCTATAGATGTTGGCGTCTGGTTGTGTGTCGTCTTTTCGTTATCATGTGTCGTTAGTAATGTAATATGTTCTGAAAGGTTTTCGTGTTAGAGACCATGGACGTCTAAGTTGTCGATCTTATATTTAATATGAGCTGCAATAGATACTGTATCGGCAGCGGCATTCGGACAATGCACTAACCTGCATTGTTTGCACATCAGACACTTGTTTTTTTCAATCAGCACCGAGCAGTTTGGTTTGCAGAACGAATAAGAGCTAAGCAAAACATGTCACCTTTGCTGCCATGTTCCCAGATTTGAAATATCCTCTCGTAACACTTGTGTTTTTGTACTTTCGTTTTTCCATTTCTTGGCCTAGTACAGGAAGTTTTGAGGACTATAGTGTAGATGTATCTGAGTCTGGTTGGTTTATTATTTGCATGAAAACATTTGAACTAATTCTAATCGCTGAGGATACGAGAAGTAAAGTTAGGGTTTATTTCCCAAAGTAAATCCAATCACAACACACATTTGTTTGTGTCTTGCAAAACAGCACATAAAGTCTAAATGCAATTGGATCTAACTGGAAGACATCCTACATTGTCTCGTCATATGTGTCACGGTCATAACTAAGTCTTAAAATACATTGAATATGACAGGGGCGGACTGGGACTAAAAATCAGCCCGGGACTCTCGACCGGCCCACCTCGGTACCGCAAGTAAATACCGCTAGTAAATTGTCGACGGGGGCGGCCCACATCGTCCGACCGGCCCACTTCATTACCGGCCCATCTGGATTCGTCCCGATGGCCAGTCCGCCACTGGAATATGACCTGGTCCCGCTTTGAGATGCTGAGGTGTGTCAAGGGTTCTGTTGAAATAAACTTAACTTTATCCCTGTGGCTTATTTCTAAACTGCTGTGACAAGTAATGAGATTAAACGAGATGCTGCTGGATCTCAGAGATGCTGAGGATTCCTCTTAAGCATGCTGATAATACAGATGAGGATCCTTATGAGCTCCTACTATCAGCCTAAAACACTGGAATACCCACCCATTTGACTTGGCATCAGTTAATTCCTGGAAAGACTTTTGGGGATGTTTCAAGGAGTAGTTCGACACATTGGGAAATACACTTTTTGTCTGTCTTGCCAACAGTTAAATGCGAAGATTGATCGATGTCTTTATGGAAATGACTACATGACTGAAAACTAGGAAGACGCTAGCTAGGCTCTTTCCAAAAGCAACACGTCAACCAGCACCTGTAAAGATAATTAGTTAACACTCATCTTGTTTGTTAAACTACAAGTTGTGGTTATATGTGCTACGTTAGGCTTAGCATCTACTTTACAGACGTGTTTTATTTTACTGCAACATTTTAATTACATGTTTAGTGTTTATTAGCATTTGGTTTGAATTTCAGATCCAGATCTTTTCAAGTTTTCATCAAAATCAGGTTATAAGAGGTCATCGGGGAAACTTAAGATATGTGTGTTGTTGCATAACGTGTTTGTGGTTTCTTTGGACTGTACGCCAACACAGCCGTGGCTGAGACTAACACTGAGCCGCTCCTCTAACAGGAGTTGATTAGCTCGCTTTGGGATAGTCTAAAAGTGTCACTGTCTTCTGACTCCAGAACGTAAAGGGTGTCTCAATCAGTCACTGTAGCCTAAAGAGCTCTGTGGGCCAAAGGGATTAGACAATAGGAAGCAGAGCAAGAGGAACAAAAAGGAGTGAGGGGGAGGAAAGCCTACCATCTGGAGGAAGAAGCAAACACTCAACTGTTTGTTCATGAAATGACGGACATGTTTTGCAAGAGAGGAATGGCTTCATTCAACTTTCCATCTTGTTTTTCTGCTCCGAAGAAGAGATGTAGAGTGGAGCAACAAATCACTCATCTAAATGAACCCTGGTCATCTTCCATCAAGAACTGCTTCAGTTGTATTGTGCTCTTGATTCCAGGTGTCTCCATCTATAGTCCAGGGACTTCTACCCAAGAACATATGTCTTCAAGTGCGCACGTTTTAAACTCGCTTTCCGTTTTAAACTCGCTTTCCGTTTTATCGGCTCGCCTGCGGACGTCTTCCCTGTCTGCCTGTGACCCCTGGCCCTCTGGAGGCAGGCCCCAGGGGAGGAGTAATCTGCAGCCTTTCATGCTCTCTGCGTGGCGCCTGAAAGCAAAGGGGAAAGGGTCTCGCTGTCCATTTATCTGAGAGCTGCAGCATTGTGTGGAGCAGGTGCTTCCACGGCATTCCTACCCTTTAAATAATGTGGAAAGGACACACTAGAGGGATGTCTGGGACCCGTGGCATTCTGCTGCCTTAATGTTGTTCTTGATCAGATTTCAATAACCCACACTGCCAAATGGGCTCATTTTCACCGTGAAGCACTGCCCTGCTTTCC